GCATGAACACTTGTCACGGGAAAACAAAGGTTAGGCTCCACACATCTTTGTCGGACATCCTCTTTGAACCTCGATGACGAACCATCATGTAAATGTGATGAATGAAAGGGAAAATTATCGACTAAGAAGGTTTGTTCGACCATCGAAACATAATTTATATGTACTGCAACATGCGTACCAATTTCAACAGGGCGTGCACTTTGCAAGGTCATAGAGATATTTCGATGGCAACTAATCTGACCAGTACGAACATCAACATTTCCTTGACTCCTCGATTAAAAAACACCGGGCTTGCGATATCATCCACCAGCGGAATTGGTTGTCGAAAAGATAAAGACCTATCACTATTATTCTCATACGAACAATCTCATCACCCGCAACACCAACCGCTTGTACTAAAAACCTTCGACTCCGACGACTTTGGGAAGATGGTTGTCCACGTTTGCGGTGTTCGTGTTGTGGTGACTCCGGTGTTTCAGTCGTAGAGTGATAGGGAGTAATATCTGAACCTATATGCAATCCCAATGCATCGTTCGACGAACCAGAAGCACAGTACAATAGAGGAAAACGGACTTGACCAGAATCAATAGTAGGAGATTGATCACACTCTGGTATCGTTGGAGAAGACAACAAATAATCGATAACAGGTCTTTCGTAACGCCGAAGGCATTTGCGACGCTTCCATGGAACATGCAAGGACCTATCCCCAGATGAAAAGAAGTTTGGAATGGTAGATAAATTACTGGTGGTTGAACCCTCACGCACACCTTCGTCTCCTGCCATATCAACGGTCGTGTGCGTATGTATTTTTACATGGCTATAAGCCTATAACATAAAAATTAAATGATATGAGGAATGCGCTACATATAGAAAATTGGAACGAAGAAAATATATCTTAGAACGTCCATATATAGATGTAATTAATAATTATCATAATAAGAAGAGTGATATAACGTCAAGTAAAAAAAAAAAAAAAAAAAGAACACGTATTCCAAGCATAAACAAAGTTGTGACAACACCAGGCGAAAAAGGAACGAGAACAAAAGGATCAGTTTATGTTTTTTTTTTTTTTTTCTACGCTCATGCCGAGGGAAATGAAGGTTAATTAATTGACACCGGAACATATTTGTTCATGTAGATATAAACGTAACGGTCAAGTTGCATGTTCGTGTCAACGTTCAATTGACATCGGATTTATATATTAATTAATCAAGGCGCGTCGTATTTTTTTTGCTATGCGTTGTTAAAAAAAACGATTACTTTTTTTTCTTCGTATGTTTGATTTGTGGTCCTATACGCCCCGTAGTCTTTTCAGGGCCCCATGAGATAGAGTCAGACGTTTCTCATTTATCCACGTTCACCCTTTGTCGTTGCACGAAAAGACTCACTTTCCTGTTCGTATAAGTTTGTCATTGGGATCATAATTTCTATTGGCTCCAATCGACCTTGATCGAGGCGGCTCCTACTTGCGGCCAGCCTTGGGTATGCTAAGTCACTCATCTGTCCACAAAGAATTCTAAGTCGAATGAGATCTTCGGACGCCAGACCCCAACAGTCTACTACAAGCCCCAAGAGACTCTGGGCCCTAGGTTCAGACAGGGTAGCACCCATTGAAGCAGTCTTACCGTCCTTCCTCTAGCTTACCCAAGGCCAGACGGAACTCGAACTGGCCTGAGCGACTTATACCCCTACCCTTACCCCAGGGTCAAAGCCTTTTTTTTTTTTTTTTTTTTTTTTTTAGTTTTAACTTTTAAGTCCATGGTGTTGTAAAGGTCAGTCACTGTGTACACAGTGATCACCTGGAGCAGTAGGCCGTGGGTGTCCTGGAATATGAGACCACCTTCATCCCATCCTCACGTCAATACTCCTAGTGCACCCCCTATCCCACTATCCTACCTAAGTGTGACCAGCACTCAAGACCATTACCCTACCAATGGGCGGTAACTTGGACCGAACAGCAGTGATAGGCACCAGGGCTGATAGGTTGTCCAGCCCTTGTGGAAGCGGAATCGAACGAGCCTTGTCGAACGGGAACTTCGGACGCCAGGCCCAGACAATCTATGACAGGCCCCAAGAGACTTTGGGCCCTAGGTTTTAGACAGGGTAACACCCATTGAGCAATCTTACTATCCTTCCCCTAGCTTACCCAAGGTCAGGCGGAACTCGGACTGGCCTGAGCGACTTATACCCCTACCCTCACCCCAGGGTCTAAGCCTTATATATAGCCACTAGAGAGTTCTACCCGAATATAAGTAGGAACTCCGGTGGCCCATACCTATCCCTACCGCAGATACTAGACCCCACCCAGTGATTAGACCCCCCCCAGTCTGATAGTTGTGTAGTTCGAAATGTATGTGTATATCTGAAGGCTGTGTATGCTTCGTGTATCTATGTATGAAGATGTACTATGTGTGAAAACTTGTGTATGTAGCCCGTAGGCTATGTATAATTCGCAAGGTATGTATATGCCCGAAGGCTGTGTGCGCTCTTTGAATCAATGTATCGAGATGCATAGAGAGATGGTTAACAGGTGCATATATTTTCAGGTCTTCTTTCCCGACAGTTCAGCCACTTTAGGTTACTACACCACTTCCAGACTGTGTGTGGATCTATACATGGGGTTGTCTGAAACCGCCTTCAGGCAGTTCAACCACTTCAGGCTGATCAGATTGCCTACAGATCCATTGCAAATGGTGGGATGGGGGTACCTGAAACCCCTTTTAGAAGCTTCAACCACTTCAGCGGTTTCAGGTCCCCACCTGAAATTCCTGAAATGACCTGAAGTGGCTGAAGCTTCTGAAAGGGGTTTCAGATACCCCCATCCAACCATTTCGATGGGGGTACCTGAAACCCCTTTCAGAAGCTTCAGCCACTTCAGCGGTTTCAGATCCCCATCTGAAATTCATGAAATGACCTGAAGTGGTTGAAGCTTCTGAAAGGGGTTTCAGGTACCCTCATCCAAATGGTTGGATGGGGGTACCTGAAACCCCTTTCAAAAACTTCAGCCACTTCAGCGGTTTCAGGTCCCCACC